CTGGACCCTGTATATATATGTTCTTGGCCATACTTTCTCAAAAAAAGAGAAAAAAAAGGATTCCCATTGCTTTCAGTTTTAATTTCTTAAGATTCCTAATCAAACATATAGTGTAATCAAAAGATTTTGTTTTATAAATGGATCAACCATGCATACAACTAAACATAAAAGAGACTGAGCTTCAATAGATGCTAAACCAGAAATCACTGTGGAATGAAATATTATTGATTAAAAATCATTGATCAAAATAATTTTTTAAAAATATAATCTTTATTACATTTTTTCCATTACCATCCAGTCCCCTGATACCCCCTGCCACCAGCCATCAACACCTTGTTGTCCATGTCCATGAGTCCTTTTTCCTTTTTGCTCCATCCCTCCTCCCACTAACTGCTCCCACTCCCAACGAGCTGTCATCTCTTGTCCACCTATGAGTCTGTTCTGTCAAAACAATTTTAAAGGGAAAATTGAGAAGAGTTTTCTTATGAAAAAACCTAAAATGGAAATGAGCAGACTAAAGATCACAAGAGGAAATGGAGCTCACTAATAAGAAGCAATGTGGGTTTGTCCGTGCTGATTGCCAGAGGGAACTATTCATGGGACTACTGCTACATGTCACTCTTGGCTTCTTCCAGCCCCTGCTGAATGCGCAAGACAATGGGCAGTCAAATAATGGGCACGTTGCCCAGTACTGTAGTGACTGGGTTTAATGACATTTGGGCTGCAGTTTGGTTTTTATTTAGATGGTAGTTACTGCTTGTTGAATGTTCTAATTTAAATGTTGCATTAAAAATTAAACTACATAAAGTCCAGCATAGGGAATATAGGCAATAATATTGTAATAATTATGCAGGGTATCAGAAGGGTACTAGACTTATCAGGATGATCACTCTGTATGCCATTGCCTAGTCATTGTTTGTTTATCTGGTGTTCAGCCTTATTGAAGAACAGGTTTTAATTATCTGTCATTTCTGAAAGTGTTTCTATTACTTAGAATGATAGAGTAAATACTGTTGCACTTTCAGAAATAAGTATATAAATCCAAGTTGCAAAGCAATTTGCTGGGACAGATATGTATATTAGTTTTTCAATTTTCTATGGCCTGATTTCTAGTGTGTCTTCTCTCCTTCAGCTCATAGCAAAGTTCCAAGTACACTGCACATTGAATGCCAACAATTAAGATAATGATGATGAAGGGACAGCAACAAAACCAATGTTTGCTTCCCTTAGAAAGAGCTTAAAGAAAACAGTCAGGCACTACTGGTTAGAGTGTGAATTGGTACAGCCATTCTGGAGAAATATCCAGTAGATTTGGAGAAATTAAATACTCTCAGCCCACTCACCTCAGAGAAACATGCACAATGTGAAATAAGGCCTGAACGAAGACATTTATCACAGTGTTGTTTGTGGAGTGGGAAGTTGGAGGAGACTTAGATGTCCATCACCAAGGGAAGGGATAATAAAATAGTATGGTGGATGCTCATGATACAGCTATTAGAAGCAAACAACCAGAGGTACAGAGAAGTACAAAGCTAAAGCTTAAAAACAAATGTTAAGTTAAAAAATAAGTAACCAATATAATTTCTGCAAATTTAAAATACACAGAGAGACACACAATAGCACCATACGCGTATATCTTATAAAGCCATACACATATCAGCCCTGGATACTGTGGCTCAGCCAACTGAGTGCCAGCCTGTGAACCAAAGGGTCACTGGTTTGATTCCCTGTCAGGGCACATGCCTGAGTTGCAGGCCAAGTCCCCATTTGGGGTGTGCAAGAGGCAACCACACATTGATGTTTCTCTCACAATGGATATTTCTCTCTTTCTTTCTCCCTCCCTTCCCCTCTCTCTGAAAATAAGTAAATATTCTTAAAAAGAGACACACACATATATGAGGATACCTACATTAGATTGGATTCTTGTGAGGTAAAGAGGAGTATAAGAGGGGATTAGAGGCAAAGGGGGGGAAATAAAATAAAACAAAAGGAAAGCTGGGCACAGCCCAATACTACTAATGAGGAGCATGTTTAACCCAAATCTCCTCTACTGAGTGTCCAAACGAGGAAATGAAAATGGGCCTATTTTACAAATGGTCCTTTAAATGCCAGTTGCACTGAGGCTCTTGGGTACCAGCAGCTGCAGCTCTCGTGTTGCCAATGGCAGTGCCCTGTTTTCCTCATCTGTGAAATGTGGATGCTGATGCTACTGTTCTAATGGTGTTGTTTGGAGTTAGATAAAACACATGTATTTAGGATAGTGTGTGGCACATAGAAAAGGCATTTAGTAAATGCTGGGTATTACTATTATTCTTATTATGTAACATCACTGAGTAAAGGTAGGAAAAGACTTGAGGAATCCTCTATTTTAATTTATTCTCTATTAGAAATTTTGGGGGAATGTTAGTATTTGTTCCAGGAAACTTAAATCAAAAGGAATAAGTGATAATGATAAATGCAATTAGAAAATAATGTGAATTGCAAGAAAGATTTGTGGATTGGATTCTGATCGCTAGTGTCTGCAGAAGTTGTCTAATGAGGGAAATCACCTGATTGCTTCAGTGGAGAGGGAGAGAGAGCAGGGGCTGGAAGGTGAGTCTTGGAGACAGTGAGAATGTCAGTGGCTGCTGGAGGTTGCGGCAGGGGTTTTGAAAAGGTGGAGCACAGGGGATTCTCAGGGCAGTGAAACTATTCTGTATGCTACAATAATGGTGGATACATGTTGTTATACATTTGTTTAGGTCTAGAAGGTACAAAACGAAAGAGTGAACTTTAATGTAAACTCTGGACTTTGGATGATAATGCTGTGTCAATGTATATTAATGAGTTGTAACAGGTATACAACTCTGGTGCTGAAAGTCAATAGTGGGGAGGCTGTGTTTGGAGGGGTCAGGAAATATTTGGGAACTCTACGTTTTCCACTCAGTTTTGGTGTGAACCTAAAACTGCTCCAAAAATAAAGTATTTTAAAAGAGTCCATTAGTCCTTTTAATATTAAAACAAAGTGACAGGAGTGTCTCCAGCCTTATTTCTGACCTACTAAATCAAAGGAATCTGGGAATCTTTACTTATAACAAGGGAGTAGCATAATAATATGCTCAGTCAAGATTAGGAAACTGCCCAAAACTAAGGCCACATTCCTTTGAAAGCCAAAGATACAAGACGCCCTACTTACAGGCAGCTCTGTTGCCGACCTCAGCTGTTATCATTTCATAAGAGCAAATGCCTGCCTCCTCTGGCATCGGGTCTTCCCAGCTGCCCAACCCCATCCCCTTGGGCCCACCTTTCATTATCTATGGCCAATATGTCACATATCCTCTTTAGCTTTATTTTCAATTTTTTGTTTCTGCCTTTCTATTTTATATCATAATGATCTTCCTAAAGTACCAATGTTACTAGAAGGCGCTACTCAGAACTCTCCATGGCGTTCCCAAACTCTTCTGAAGTAAAGTGTAAATTTCCTTCTAGTCCACTCTCTCCGCATTGACCCTGGGTATCAGCCTTGTTCATGACCTCGCCCCTGTCATGACTGCCCTTTCTCCTGCTCTCCAGGTCTCCAAATAGTATTGACACCTTTTTCTCCATGCAATGCTCCAGCCCACACGGCTGTGCCATTTCTCTGACAGCTATTAAGATTCAGCAACTGTTGTTTGCTCTGATCATTACCTATTTTCTTGTATTTTATCTTAACTTAATATTTTATATTATGTTCCGTTGTGACAGCCCATCAAAGATGGTGAAGGGCAATAGTATCCTCTTAACTGAATGTGTGAATTTATCAAAGAGTACTGATTCTGGGGTGAACTACATGTTCTCCTTGAGAAAAAAAGCTTCATGTTGTCTAACCCATGAATTCCAAAGGCATTTGTGTGTTTAGAACATTAAAGACCAATTCTAGATATTTTCTTTGCTTTTCTCCAAATGCCAATTCATTGCAAATAAATTTCCTGTTCAACGAGATAGCATGTGACTGTGGTGTCAGAAGCTGAGATTGAAACATTGAGTCTGACAAAGGGTTTTTGTGCTGTTTCCAACAGTAAGAGGCTCTGTGGAGGAGGTAGTTTGGTGGCTTCAAAAAATGCAATGTGAGAAATACTTTAATAATTTGGAATATTGAGATGGGATATTTAAAATGAGGACTTCCCTGGAAAATCTAGAATGCTGGCCACCACGTTCTTCAGTGACGCACACTGTGCTAGAATTAGGGGGCGTACAGAAATGAAGGCATGGCCTGTCCCTGCTGTTGAGGAGTTTGCAGTGTTGTCGGGAAGACTGGACTTGCAAAAAGAAAATAATCATAGGGATTTTAATAACATCACTGAGGAAAATAAAATCCTATAAGAATTTTCACCAATAGAATGGGCCAACGCTTCGTATATAGTATTTCAGATCTTCACCAGCCATTTGAAAAGGGGAATATAATTTTTCCTTTTGATATGAAAAAATAAAGTTCAGAGACATTGAGTGACATGCTCCAGGTTACATTGAGTGACATAGTTGGTAATCTGTGGAGGAGGGATCTGAACTGGGGTTCTGTCAGGCTCTAAAACTTGTGCTCTTTCCATTCTGGTGTGGATTCATCCTTTCCTCATCTGTACCTTCTGTACCTCCGCAGATCTTGAAAAGTGATAGTAAAATGATCACTATCCCCAATTAAAATATGGGGGGGGGGCAAAAGTAGGTTTACAGTGTGAGTAGGTGAAACAGAGTTTATTCTTGTATTGTTATTTATTAATTATTGTATTATTTTCCATACAAACAATGATAAACCCACTTTATCTCACCCTGAATGTGTACAAATAACCAAGATTGATGGGATTATGGGGTTTCTTCTTTTTCAGAATTGTCTTTAAAATTGTTATAATATTTTACATATAAAAGAAGGAAACGGGGGAACTAAAGATAGACTTCGCTACATTTAAATCACCCACTGCTGTGCAGTCTATCATTTAATTAAATCACTTACTTTTTCTTAAAAGCAATTATATGGAACAAGCAAGATGAATAAAAATAAACTGATTCATGATTTCCTGGAAGTAGTTTCAAGAGGTGATGTGGAACTCATCTGTGACCATATTACTGAAGTCCATTCCATCCTTGGAAACCTTGACTTTCAGCATCCAGAGACTGGGAATACACCTCTCATTACTGCAGCAGAAGAAAACTTATCAGAGGTAACATGAGGTGTCTGGGGGCCCATGGGTGCTCTTCTGGCTAAGGATTCTGAGATGAGATGTTTGAGAATAACATTACCACCACCTCCATGAAAGAATGTCTGAAGGCACAAAGCAGAGGGTAGAGGTGGGGATTTGGGGGTGAAGGGCAACTGGAGGGGGACTGAGAAAGCAACAATCTAGATAATTGCTATCTTGATTAATTAATTCCCCTACTCAGTCAACAGAATACTAGACTTCATGTTGGATACAAAGTTGGATCAAACACAGATGTCACCCTTGAGGAGTTTATGGTCTAGTGGGACAATATAATGGAGCATGAGATTGTTTCTCTTTCCCACTCCCCACCTTCAGCCCCATCAGACCTGGGAATTTGTTCCCTGCTCTAACAAATGTATATAACCCTGAAAATAGGGCAAGAGGAGTTAATAAATAATAGTAAGACCTCAGAGGGCAGAGAATTGTCCTCTTTGTTCTAGGTATATATCCAGCTACAGTGTCTGACACATCTAGGTGTTTAAGAAGTATGTATTAAGTGGACAAACAAATGAATAAATAACCCATTTGGGTCTTATCAATCATTTATATCATTGTGTGTGGGAATTTAGAAGAGCCTTTTTAAGAATGCAGGTGAAAGTCATAACAATGTGGGCACTTGGTATTGGGGACAGTCAACAAGGAGGGAGTTATAAGTGAAATAGAAAAGGGCTTAGAATGGGAAACTAAAGTGAAAAAGACAAACTTCAAGTTTGTCCCCTGCACAGGTCAGAGCCTCTACAAGTTCTTGGTGACATAAATGCAAATAGATCCTTAACCCCGCCTAATCACCTCAATTAGCCTCTCTCTTGACTAATTCTTAGCTCGTTTTCTCTTTTGATTCTTTTATATTAGCACCTTCTAAACAAATTCTAAAGTATTATTATATATGTTTACAAAACATGTATGTGCAACTTAAAGAAAAATGAGACTAACACCCTGTACCCTCCATTCAAGCCAAAAATTAGAACACAGCCATGCCTCAAAAGCCCCTTATATGCTCCTCCTGAATTGCATTATCTTGACTTTGGGGTTAATCATTTCCTTACTTTGGCCACTTCTGAATGTACTCCTAAATAATTCATTGTTTACTTTTCCAGTTTTGAACTTTATAAAAACAAACTTGCACTGCATGTGTTTCTCTGTAACTTGCTTCTTCTGCTCATTGTTATGTTTTGAGACTGCCCCACTTCAACCCAGCAGCTGTGGCTTTTCATTTTTACTGCTATTCAGTATTCTGGCCTTGCCACAACTGAACTGTCTATCTTAGTTTGATAGGCAAGTGGGTGGTTTCCATATTTATGTTATTGCAAACAGTGATGCTATTTTCCATTAGCATTAAATATACTTAAATATCTCCCTTCTGATGAAACATAAATAAACACCTTCACTGACTCCCACATCCTCCTCCAGCCACTTCCGTTCCTCTTTCAGGCCTCTTCACCTGCAGACCTCTATCAATAACTATAGAAGATCTGAGATTTTACTCTACTTTCAAGCTAACATGTTAGCCTGGCACAACTTCTTGGGTTCTTGGCATAAGAAACAAAACAGGGTCAGACACAATAGCATTTGCCAGAGTATTATCAGTTTTATGTCAGTTCCTAATTCCCATGGATGATAGGAAGGGGACCCTACTCACAGGGGATTGGATTGCAGGAGAGAAACCTTAAATTTATGGAAGCCACATCTTCATAATGGGCATTGAGCAATCCTACTCTTTGCTCCAGAAGGAGATGCTGTCTCTATCCAAGGCTATTCACTATGGGAACTACACAAACACTACACAAATAAGCTTGAAAAGAGTGTGGAGCAAAGGCAGTCAGTGCTTCTGCTCACTAGACTTGTACAAATAGTAAGAGACCCAGGGAGACTTGTCTCCTAAAAATATCTACCCTTCATTTCTACACTGTCTTGGTTTCTGTCGAATTTCCCCATGAGTGCATCACTCTCTTAGTCATTCTGGCTAATCTGATCAACAAGAGACAGGGACCAAATCCATCAATTTGTCTCATATGACATTCAATTAAAGCTACTCTATAGGACTCCAAGCAGCAAAATGAGGCCATACCATAGGCAGACCTCAGGCATGCCATCAAGGTTTGTGGACCCCTCCAGCTTGAATAAACCCATAAACCATCAAGATCTTACCCTAGAAAACTAGGTGGCTTTCTCGTTAAGTTTCTCTGTTGATCATCCCATTTGGTCTGAGGCATAAATCCAGGTACAGTGGCATATATCAGCCATTGCAAACTTCACCTTGGCCTCCAAGGAGGAAGTCTAGGGCAATTCTATCATGCATTAACAACCCTGGCCAGTGACTTAACTGCTGATCTGAATGAGGTGGTGTTATTGATAACTTCAACTAAATTCAAGGACAAATTTTACCCTACTTTTTCTAATTGTATGCCTCCTGTCTTAGGGATAATTACTCACAGGGAGCTCACAAGTAACAAGCAGCTATCTCTCTGTAAGTTCCCCCAAATAACCAATGTTGACTTCATTTTGGGGAGAGCTCTGAAGCCATCTGAGGCTACATCGTCTATTTGCTTAAAGAGTTGAAGGTCTCTTAGGACCGTCCCTAAGGCATACGTCACCATGTTTTCAGGAGAGATGCAAGCTAATGCCAGGTTTCCGCACAGTAAGTATTTTCCCTTGGTAGGTGGGTGCTGGAGGTGATGTTTACAATTGTTGGGCCCCCCAAATGGGACCTACATTAGTAAGGAGACACAGGGTGACAGTGCCTCCATGCAGCCTCTCAGCTGGCTGGTAGGCTGAAGATTCCCAACTCAGTCTGAATAATTGAGTCTGGTCCTAGATTTGGGAGGATTATCAGTACTGTTGGTCTGTGCCAATAGCCTCGTAGCATTCATTTACCCCCCAGAATGAGTGAGTGATGGGATGGAAGTGAGCAGTAATCTTGGGGTGTTGACAAGAGTTTTACATGGCAGATGCAAGATCTGGGGCTGTTGGCCACTATTGCGAATAGACTTCTTGGTAAGTCTAAGGGAATTAGCAATGAAATTATGATTGGGCTATCTGGCAGACCCAGTGGTAAGTTAAATTTAAGGTGTTTACAACAGGTTTTTGAGAGGCACACCTAGACATTTTCTTTCATGAGGTTGGTTCTGAAGGACAAAAGTCATTAATGTCCCACCCTCCCTTGTACCCTATGGGGTCTAGGATGTTCTGCCTTTAGGTGCCAGGGTTGTTCCCCCCCTTCCACCAACACAAAGTCTATGTGTACCATTTCAGTAGCTACAACTTCAATATCAGAAACATGGAGTTTTTTATGCCCAGTCTACCTTGTTGGCTGTGTTGCCATGTCTGATTATAATGGGTGCAGGCAGCAATGGAGGCAATCTGGGTTGTGCAGGGTCAATCGAAATTTCATTCCAGTCTAGCCATCGCAGAAGAGACCTTTGCCATGGGTTTCTACATGAACTGACCTAGACAGTTTGTTTTATAGTTCATGGCCTTAAGGAAAGGTGCCAGTCTAAAATTTTAATCTGCCAGTCTATAATTTTCCAAGTGGCAGACTATCAGCTAGGCAGGCCATTGGCAGCTGCTCAAGAATCAGTAAAAATATAAGAAGGTTCATCAAGGGGAGTAGAGGCCAGAGCTATGAGAATGGCCTTCAGTTCTCCCCATTGAGTGAATCAACCATGTCCATTATCAATTCTGTGTTGCTGACACATAGGCTGACCTGGTGCAACAGCCCAGTGCATGCCATCAGGTTTCATGGCATTAACCACTAGGTAGCTCAAACCCAGGGCTAAATAAATAAATAAATAAGAGAAATTACCTTCATCACTGACTGGATCTAAGGTTGTCAGCCGGAACGGCTGAGCAGTAAGATAACTATTATCATTTCTCCTTAACAAGAATTATGTGTCTTACCAACCATATTCTAAAGGACCCAGCCAGAGTTCAAAGTTTGCTTGGTTTTTACCATTTCAGTCATGAATTTCCCTACTGCCATCCTTAGTGAAGATAATGAACCTCTGTAATTGTTGTATGAAAGGGAGTAAGTAGAATCTTCTGCCCACCCAGGACAATTGTGGCATTACCATATTTTTAGGACTATAAGACGCATTGGACCATAAGATGTACCTAGGTTTTAGAGGAGGAAAATAGAAAAAATTTTTTTGAAGTAAAAAATGTGGTAAAATATTTAATAACCTGTGACCCCGCTCCATTGCCACACCCCAGGCCTTCAGCGAGCCAGGTAAGCTACATTTGGACCATAAGACACATTCCCTTTTCCTCCCAAATTGGTGGGGGGAATGCATCTTACAGCCTGAAAAATATGTTATTTGCTACAATGGCATGAATTTAAGGCTGACTGCCAGATTGGTGAGGAAGATACAACCTACAGAAGAATTATCAAAAGTTAGGAAACAGCTGTTTGGAACTTACTTCCTAATACACAGCCTATAACTACTATCCTGTTTAGTTTCTTAAACAGTCATGTGTAGTCAATAAAGTGGAGGATCTTTTATTGTCCAATATACCATACAATTTGGTTAACATATTTGCTACCTTTACTCATGAACTTTCCTTAAATCTCATTAATTAGCCAATGAAGCCGTCACTCTCCCTCTGTCATTCCTGTTTCTCTCATCATTTTATCTTTTGCAAAAGTTATCATTTGTGAAGCATCTGAGATTTTCCTTTTATGCAAGTTGTAAGTTAGTCTGCCACAGATTCAGAGTCTGGCAGAGGACACAAGACTCCTGGGTCAGAGAAAATGACAGTTTATTATCCATAGTAGTAACAGCCGGCACTGGCTTCAGTTCTCTGAGCCCCAATTTCTACATGGCAACGTGAAGAGGTGATACCTACACACACAGTGGGTTGGATTATAAGAGAGGAAACCTGAACTTAGAAAACCTGAGTCTTTTATAATAGCCAGTAAGCAAGTCTTCCCAATGCTCCAGAGGGAGACACTATCTCTATTTTCC